ACTCGAAATGGAAGTAAGCTCAACAATTATGAAACAAGAGATTCCTCGAAACCCAACTTTTCTTCATATAGAACAGTTTTTGGCGAGTTGTATTCTGGTATAAGGCCGGCTAACTGATGATGCCGACGAAAAATCTGTAAATGTAACAAGTCCTTAGTCCAGCGCAGGAAATTACCATGGATTGTGTGGCAGAAGACTCCGTACAAAATGCGTTCATTTATAGCACTCTGGCACTACAAACAAGTCACGAAAAGGATGTCAAACTACTTTTATGATGACTATGATTAGTCTGCATTCTTTATGATCACCTTGACGATACGACCTAGCTGCAAAATAACATTATGGTGTATCGAAGTGTCGTCTGACCTTGCAAGCCTCGTATTCATATTCCGGACGCTCGGTGGTTATTCCATCAAATCCGATTCCCAACTGACCTTTACAGTGGCCATTTTTCCAAGGCCCATGGACTGACGATTGGTAATTGAATTTAACGCATCAAAACGTTCTTCATTCAGAATAAGAATTGAATGACTTTTTGATTTAAAATAAAAAGGTGATTAGAAAAAATATACCTAGACAAGAGAAAGGCTCTCTTGGTTTAGTACATCTTTTGCGCTATTTCGTAAATGGCCTTCGATGGCAGTAGGTACTTTAAGAGCCGATATTGGCGTTTTCAGATAAACATTTGCTCCATTTGCGAGTGCTCTGCTCGCATGAAGGCAGGTCTACGGTTTCTCAGACTCTCAACTTACTTAGCATGAACTGGATTGCATAGCATAAAGTAGATGATGTGAAGGAGAATGAGTAACAACAGGAGCAGAGGAGGAAAAAAAGAGAATAAAAAGAGGAGAGGGAAAAAGAAGCGCCAGAGCAAGACGATGAGAGTAGGCGAAATGCTGAGCCGGTTTGCCAATTGGTGGAGCATATTTCACTCATTTTTCGCATTTAAATATTGTTTCGAGACTACAAGTAAATCAGTAATATGAGATGCGTTCACCTAATTTCGTTTAAGGTGATGAAGCACTGGTAGAAGAAGAATTTTCCCACAATGAAATGAGTAGAGCTGAAGCCTTGCGCTCCCAATAGTTGTTCTCATTCAGGCTGGACTGTAGTTTCGATCTCGCATCAACTAGTATTATCAACACCCCCAGCGGGATTCGAACCGTGACTGCGCAGAATGGGAGATTGACACGTTAACCACTCGAGTGTCCTTGGGTCAAGGGCAGATATGAATTTCAAGGCAGACTAGGCATTTTTGTCATATCATATTCTTTGGTGGGATTGTCGATGAAGCAAACGTATATTGAAGTAGGTTGACCTTGTTGTCGCAACTTGGTCTTGTTCTCAGGGAAACTATGTAGAACGCACCTAATCCGAAGTCGTCTGCCATAGTAGTTGTCATGATTCCCAGCATCTGACAGTGGACTTGATACCGGGAATCATGACAACTACTATGGCGGACGACTTTGAACTAGGTGCGTTCTACATAGCCTTCCTGAAAACAAAACCAAGTTGTGACAAAGAGGTCAACCCACTTCTATAAATCGAAAGGAGACTGCGACCATACCAGAGGCCACAACATCTTGGTCTTCATATCTTCAAACGTATATTTGCTACAACAATCGACTAAGTTACTTATTTTTAGTGTTTGAGTAGAGTTTCGAGACTACCAGTAAATCAGTAATATGAGATGTATTCACCCTATTTCGTTTAAGGTGACGAAGGACTGGTATTAGTATTTTTCCCACAATGATATGAGTTTCCAGTGAAATTCACAGAGCCTTGTTTTCCCAACAGTTGTTCTCATCGCGGCAAGAATGGACTGCAGTTTCGAGCTGGCATCAACTGGTCTTATCAACACCCCCAGCGGGAGTCGAACCGTGACTGTGCCGAATGGGAGCTTGACACGTTAACCACTCGGCCACATTGCCACGAGTGCGTTTGGTTGACGAAATCACATCACAACCTGCGCGCCTGCACAATTTCGAAGGTAACAGGCGTATTACATGAATTATGCCACGTACCTGCAGTCGTCAAATCCACACTCGATACTGCCTTCGCAGAACAACCGAGGCTGCATGAAAGCCTTTTGCCGATAGGTCAAGTAAGCATAGAACTTGCCAAGACTGCATCTCGAAGATGTTTAGCCTAGAAGAAATCTGGGCCATGCCTAACCTCCGAACAAGTGAAC